CCTCTGCAGGCCTTTCACTATGTGGTCTTGAAGAATGCCCTGTTCCATGCTTTGAACTTCACAGAGCACTGGCAGGCAGAATCCCATCTCTTCTACTGTCTTGTTTCCACTTTTATATTCTTTCTACTTTGAATCTCTAGTCTCGCCTATAGTGGTAAAGGATAATTGGTACTTGGTAATGCTGACTGCATGAATGTACCTATAATTAACTTTTAGGATTACTTGATTTCTATCAATCAAGACCCAAGATGGGAATTAGATTGAGGGAAGGGAACTGCTTAGTGCTTGATACTGCATGCCTTTGCCAGCTCTAGGAGAGACCTAGGATAGGCATGGATGCCTGGGTAAGCTCAAGACCCCTCTCATTACTGCTGTATAAGGCCTTGAGGCATTCAGGTTCTAACCTTGACAAGGCTTAAGAGAGACCAAAGCGGATCTGAAGCAATATCCCTTGCAGATTAAACAGCATCTATCTATCTATCTATCTATCTATCTATCTATCTATCTATCTATCTATGCAGACAGACACAAGTGCTTTGTAAATTGTTTATTGAGCAGGTACCCAATAGGTCAACACTGATTGAGCTTGGCGATACTGGACAATTTCCAGGCCTTTAGTGCCTTCCTTTCTAAAACCAGGGGTGGGGTAGGGTGGGGTAGAATAAATGGTATCAAAGTTTTGGCTCTCAGTGATGGGTAAGGAAAGGCAAAGCATGGAGAGGTGAGATTGGATTTCCTCTTACTCTGCCTCTTTGCAGGGAGAGTGCTCCTGAGGAATTCTATTCTCCTGGCCAGGACTCTCTGGGCTAGGAATAGCCAGTGGTAAGGCTTGAAAGAGCTTGCCTCAGAGCTCTTGCCTGGAGTTTCTGCAGGAAGCCATGTTCAAGGTGGTGTGGTTAGAAATGGCAAGTATTAAGGAAGTCAGGCAGGCAGGGATCTGCCATGCCTCTTTGTGGGGACCTAAAGGCCCCACCTTGCAGAAGTCCAGGAGGAAGTTACTGGGGCACGGCCTAACTTGCTTTGAAAGTCTGAAGAATACTTCCGCACTGCTGAGGAGTGCATGATCAGTGCAGTGACCATCCTTAAGATACACCCTGGGGTGTGTGTGTGGGGGATTTCCAGGTGCCTTTATAAGCTCTGTAACACCTGAAATAAATGAGTCCCTGCTTGACTAGGCTCCCTGTTGCGCCTGGGTGTTCCTGGTACTGGGGGTGGCATGGGCTGGCGAACGGGGTGCTCACATCCCCAATCATCACTGAGTGGGGGTCGCTGGCTCGAACCCCCTGCAACTGGCGCCCAGCGTGGCGCTCAAAGGAAGGTGAAAAGAAGAAAAGAAAGAAGAAAGAAAAGAAAAACGGATTGGGGCCAATTGGGAAGTTTGGGGTAGATGGGTAACGAAATTAATAAGCCTGAGAGAGATGCTTAAAAGCAGGGGACTGGATCTGTCAGATCTAGTAGCTCAAAGGGCAGAGGCATTCATTTGGCTCCCTGGCTACTTGGGGCTAATGTTTTTACTGGGGATACATGGGAATCATGGGAAGAGTTTGAGGAAGAACGTGGAAATGCAACAGAAGTGAAACCAAAAGCGACCAAAGTAACAAGTGGCACCTCGGGCGTGCCCTGGCTAGCTTCAGAGCCTCCCGGGACCCATGAAAACAGGACCCATGGGTGCCCTTTTTAGAAGGGCGGAGCGGAGCACACGGGGCGGTGGCGCCCACCCAACCTGCCTAGGTCCCGCATGAAAGCCGGGTGGGGGACTGCCCCCCAGCTAGTGACCAGCGGTGGCTGCTGGGCACATTTAAAAAAAAAACCACCATTGGCTGTGCGCCGCGACTGGCTCCGGGACGGCTGGGAAGGCCTGGGTTCGAGGAAGGTGGCTGGGGGTGGGGGCCCATCCCATCCATTCCTCAGGCAGTCAGGAAACCACCCCGCCCCGGAGTGTTACAGCCCCACCAGCAGCAGCACTCGCCGAATCCTAGCCAAGTGAGCCCTTAGTATACCTGGGGCAGATGAAAAACCAAAAAGATATGTCCACACTTGTGATTGCTCAGCTCAATTCAAGAAACTCATGGCCATTGCTTTCTGACAGTATTCAGACTCCAACACTCTTTAAAGAGAGAGAAGCCCCTATCTTCTTACAGCATCTTAGGGGGCACCAAGGATTGCCTGGGCTTTTATCCCAAGGCAATGCAGAGGCAAACAAGATGGCTTATTATGTACAGGTACCACCTATGCAACAGCCAGGAGTAAACCCCAGGGGACTCAAGCCCAATTCCTTGTGGCAAACGGATGTCACACACTATGCTCCTTTTGGAAAGCTTAAGTATATTTTTGTGTCCATCGACACATTCTCACATGCCTGTTGGGCTACTGCTCATACAGGAGAGAAGTCTAAACATGCTCAGTCTCATTTTCTCCAGTGCTTAGCTACGTTGGGACTGCCCCAAAGAATTAAAACTGATAATGGACCATGTTTTGTGAGTAAAAATTTACAAGATTTCTTTTCACTTTGGGGAATTCAACACAACCTAAGACAGGCAAAAATGCATAAGATTAGAGGAAGGAGATGGCCATCTCTCCTCAGGGAGCTGCCTATGAGGTGGGTAACCCATGAAATAAAGTCAGTCCGGCCTTAAAATAAAAATAAAAGGGGGAGATGTGGGGACTTAAAGGCCCCACCTTGCAGAAGTCCGAGAGGAAGTTACAGGGGCACGGCCTGACTTGCTTTGAAAGTCTGAAGAATACTTCCGCACTGCTGAGGAGTGCATGATCAGCGCGTTACCATCCTTAAGATACACCCATTCTGAACTACACAGCGTGTTCCAGGCCAGCCTGGGCTATAGACCTTGTCTCAAAAAATTAATTAATTAATTAAAAAACATTTATTCTCTCAACAAAATATTTATTTTTATATTTATTTATATTAATCTATTTATCCAGTTAGTTTTTTGAGACAGGGTCTTCCCATAGCCCCAGCTGGCCTGGAACTTTCTATGTAGACCCGGCTGGCCTCAATCTCACTGATCTCATAGCGCTCTACCTGCCTCTGCCTCCTGAGTGCTGGGACTAAAGGTAAGTGCCACCAACCCTGGCTTTCAACACATATCTTTAGGGAACTACTACATTCTAGCTTCTGCAGTGAGTTCTTGGAAAAAAAGTAGAGGTGACACTCCAAATAAACAAGAATGTCAAGTCCTGTGATGACAAAGGGGACCGTGGGGAGGAGTAAGTGCGGAATGAGAACAGATTCCTTTCATTGAGTGGTCATGAGAGGCTTAAGTGAGGAGGGGCATCTGAGCTGAGATCTGAAGGGTAGGTTGTAAGTTGGCCACATGAGGATCAGGAAGAGGAGTGTTCAGGTAGGGTGAACTGCAAGGGTAGATCTCTGAGTGGGGAACGAACACAAAATGGAAGACATCAGCAGGGGTGGAGCACAGCTGTGGAAGAGTGGGAGAGATGCCTGTGTGCATCTAATTGAGACTTGTGAACATGACCCTATTTGGAAAAGAGATCTTTGCAGATGTAATGAAGGACTTCAAGATGAGATCATTGTGTCTTTAAGGTGTATCCTTTATCTGAAGACTGATGCCTTATACAACAAGGGGGGCGGAATCTGAGACACAGATACAGCCACTGGTCACACAGAGATGCTGACAGAGATTGGAGTGAGGCATTCTCAAGCTATAGGATGCCAAAGATTGTTGACAGCCACTCTAAGCAGGAGGAGACAAGGAAGGAGCACAGGGGTTCAGGTAATAACTAAGGGAAGAGGACAGATTCTCTCTTAGCTCTCCAGAGGGATTCATTATCTTTATTTTGGAGTTTTGACTTTCAGAACTGTAAGAAAGTATATTTCTATTGTATTATTATTATTATTATTATTATTATTATTATTATTTCTTTTGAGACAGGTTCTCACTCTGAGCTCAGGTAGCTCAGGCTGACCTGGAACTCACTATGTAGCCCAGGATGACCAAGAATTCATTGTAATCCTTTCATCTCAGCCTCCTGAGTGCTGGGATTACAGACATGACCTACCACATTCATCTTATTTCTGTTGTTTTAAGCCACCAAGTCTGTGTGTAACTTGTATGGACATACTAATAAAAGAGGTAAGCAATTCTAGCAAAGAGCAGCTGGCCTATACTAGCCAACCAATCCATTTACTCACATACCCTTTGGTTACTGTACAGAGAATGAACTATATAGCAGAAAAAGGAATAGCAAGATGCTACCATTTTATGATGCACATGGTAGCTGAGGAATGAATGAATGAATGGATGACAAACGGGAAGGAAAACTCTTAGAGGTGACAGAGCTGATGAGATTGTCAGGACAGGTTGGTAAAGGGGCACCAAGTTATCCTTGGGGAAATTCTGAATCTCCATAGGATGAGTTATGACTCTAAAGCTTCAGGTGAGCTCAAGAGGAGCTTCCCAGGAGCTGGTGGGAGCAGGTGGAAGGGAAGGTCTGCAGGAGGGTAGGGACCAGGCTGCTTCTCTGTCCCTTTACTTGCCTGTGACTCAGTACATATCATGTAAAGCTTCCTCTAAAAAGCCAACTCCAAGGCCATCTTTTCCTGGAAGTGTTCCTGACTTCTTGCCTCCCACGGTCTCCACAGAGTCCCTGGAGCCCCAACAGCAGCAGCAAGCTCAGGGCTCCAGTCCCTCAGTGCTCACTGGCAGACCTCAGTTACTGAGTTGTCAAACCTCGATCACCCCACATACACCCAGAAGCTGGCCAAAACTCTCAGTCAGCGAGAAGCAGGACAGCAGGAGACACACTTCCCTTTCTTGTATTTTTGCCCCCACACCACAGCCACCCCAGTCTCAGTGTAGTCAGCACCAGGCTCCCTGCTGGTGCCTTTGTTTCTGCACACTGAGCTGATTCATCATGGGACGGGAGGAACAAGACATGTGACAAAGGCAGCTCTGGCCCTGGCACCACCTTCCTCCTTGTGGGAACCAGCAGGACCACTTCCTGTGGGGACTGCCACCTACCTTGGGGATGTCGTGATCATTTTGGATCTCACTGCTGGTCTCCACTGGGGCGTGGTCAGCGCGGGAGCTGCAGCTTGGCTCCATAGCTGCCCCTTCCTTTTGCTCTTTCTCCTCTTCTGAGACACTCCGGCTCTCCATTCTTCCAGGAGGACTTTGGGGGACTTCTTCCCCGCCAGCTCCCTCCTCTGGTGCCTTTGTATCTGGGCTCTTCTGTTCTGGCCTGTCCTCTTCATCTGCTGCCTTCTCCTTCACCGAGGCCGTCCCCTCTTTGGCCTTCCCAGCGTCCATTTCCTCTCCAGCTGCTGTCTCCTCCACCGGGCCCCCATACCCATTCTCTGCCCCTGGGCTGCAGGTTTGGGGTGGCTCTGGGGCCTCCTGTGCTGGGTGCTGGCCATCATCTTCAGGACTCTGTCCAGTCTTCTCTCCAGCCTTGGCTTCCTCTGGAGCACAGGCCTGTTGTTCTGGCTTCTCAGTGCTGCACGTCCTCCTCAGAGGAGGCTTTTCTGCAGACCCAGGGGGTCCCCCCAACCCATCTCCCATGGCCCCCTCATTGGATGGGGGAGAGTCAGGGGCCTTGCTCTTGGTGGCGAATACATCATCCCCGTTCTCCTCCCTGGCACCATTTTCCTGAGATGGTTCAGTAGCCCTGAAATCTCCAAGGTCCCCACAGTCTGACTGAGATCTCCGGAATCGCCGGGAGGGAGGGCGCCTTTTTATCGAGCCTCTGGTCCGCACCTGGAAGAAGATATTAAGGACAATTATCTTTAAAATAAAATAATAAACCAAAAGGAGACCTATACATGGTAAGGTACCACTAAACACACCCACTCCTGGATCATTTAAACTCTTAAGAGGGTGTAAAGTCATTTGCTGTTTATTATAGGTTAGAATCTAGAGGATATAAAATTATCTGGCAGCCTGCAGACATTTGCCTTGGGAAGATGCAAATACTTTTCACCAAGTAATAATTTGAGGATATGGCTCAGTGGGTGAAATGTTTGCTGTGCACACATGAGGATCATTGTCAGAAGCTGTGCTTCTAGAGTACCCAGCGTTGATGCTGGAAATGATTCCTCTCCTGGAAGCAGGAAACTCAGAACCAGGCCTCAGTTCAGGCTAGGACACTGTCCAAAGTGCAATGGAACATTTATATCCAATGCCTACTTTATTCACGTGACATCCTCTTTAAAAACAAAAAAACAAAAAAAACAAAAACAACCCTGTGTCTCCTCTCTTAACTCTTTAAAATTTTTTATTAATTAATTAGTTAATTAAATTTATTTATTTATTTTGGTCTTTTTGAGACAGGGTCTCCCTGTAGCTCCAGCTGGCCTGGAACTCACTATGTAGACAAGGCTGGCTTTGAACTCACAGAGATCTGCCTGCCTCTGCCTCCTGGGTGATGGGATTAAAGGCATGTACCACCTAATAAATAATTTTTTTTTTTTTTAATAAAGGGGGCACTGGAGAGATGGCACAGCAGTTAAGAGCACTAGCTATTCTTGTACAGGACTCAAGTTCAATTCCCGGCACCCACATAGTAGCTAACAACCATCCATAGATAACTCCAGTTCCATGGGATCTGACACCCTCTCCTGACCACCGAGGGCATTGCACAAAATGGGTGTACTTACATGCATGCAGGCAATATACTCATACACATAAAATAAGAATTATTTAAAAAGGCACATGCTGCCATGACTGGCTTATTTTTATTTTTTAATGCATGTGTTTGGCCTGCATATATGTAAGTGCAACCATGGGTATGGTTTCAATGCCCGTGGAGTCCAGAAGAGGGTGCCTGATGTTAGCCATTGTGTGAGTGCTGGGAACTGAACCTTGGTCCTCTACAAGAGCAGCCAATTGAGATATGTCCCATAAAACTCTGTCATTTCACAACAAAAACAAAAGCAAAACCAAAAAAACCTGGGTGTGGTGGTGGATGCCCTTAATCCCAGCACTCGGGAGGCAGAGGCAGGCAGATCTCTGTGAATTCAAGGCCAGCTTGATCTACATAACCAGGTCCAGGCTGAACCAGACTGGACCACACTAGACCAGACCAAACTAAACCAAACCACCCCAAAGCCAAAAACACAAAACAACAACTGCCCCCAAAGCCTGTCATTTCTAGGTCGACCTCAGAGTTCAAGAATGAATATTTGATTTATGAGGACCTCCCATGCCTCTTCCTGAGACCAGCATGAGGCCAGTTCTTTAGTGTCAAGGCCCCAGTCCCCACGGCCAGCAGAGTTCAGAGGCCCTTTTATTTGTTTTTGTGCTGCTTTAGAAGCCTGAAACCCCAGGTTCAGTGACTAGATAGAAGCAACTTCCTCCTAGTCCCTATGGAGACCCTGAGAGAGTAGGAGCCTCTTCACTTACTGCCTATCTGCCTTCAGGGTGCCCATTGCCCCACACAGGAAGGCCACAGCTCTGTCCCTAGCCAACATGCTCAAGCCAGCCAGTTCTGCCATCTCTTTGCCACCAGTTTGCTTCTGTAAGCCTTTCTGATTCCTTCCTCTTCCTAGCAGGACCAGAGATCTGTATACACACGAAGCATCAAGGTAGTATGTACAGAATGAGTCCTGCCACATAGTTTTGCAAAAGGGCTGGTTTGGATGTTGTTCTTCTTCTTTTTTAAGTAAAGATTTATTTTTTTAATTTTATGTGTGTGAATGTTTTGCCTGCCTGTAAGTGCACTACAGTACATGTGTGCCTGCAATGCCCACAGTGGATAGAACAGAGCATCAGATCCCCTGGAACTGCAGTTACAAACACCATGTGGATGTTGGGAATCAAACTGCAGTCCTCTGTAAGAGCAGCCAGTGCGCTTACCAGATGAGCCATCTCTCCAGCCCCAGTTTGAATGTTCTTGAACTGGGGCAAGCTGCAGCAGGAATGGTTTGACCCCACATTGAGTCAGTGTGGACTATCCCCATCAGGTTAGAACAGGATACTTTGGTACTCTTTGGGAATCTTTCTTTGGGAATCACAGGTCAGGCCCTTAGCTTGTGTCTTTTAGCCTCTGAGGTTACTATGTGTACAGATGCAATCAGCTCTGAATACCCATCCTCCCAACTGCTTGTTGGATATATGGCATAATTACAGGGAGAGGAGATGAGAGAAGCCCACTAGGTAGAGACAGGGAATCCCTTAAGTGCAAAGGAGAGAAGAAATTTCACTTGAGTAAAAACAGCTGAGGTAGTACAAAATGTTTCCTCCTTTCTGCAGGACTAGGGAGAGAAAACTCAGGAGGGTCCCGTCCAAAGTCTCTTTGGTAGAGTTACCGTGGGGCCAGAACTTACCTTATTATAAGAGGGCAGATGAGCACCTTCAGGAGGCTGGTCAAAGCTGACAGGCACCTCCTCTGCCTCGCCTGGCTGAGACCGCACACCAGGGCTGCTGGGTGTGGAAGGGGGACTATGAAATGGTGACACCATGGCCTTGAGTCCAGGACTCTTTGGTGAAGCTCCAGGCAGCAGAGCTGCTGGGTCAAAGGCTAAGTTGGCCTGTCAAGAAAAGGTAAGTTTCATTGGGGATGGGGAGAAGATGCTTTACTTTATGGTTCCCTGGTCTTAGACTAGCTCTTCCCAACCAGTTATCTACCCTTATGTACATCATGACCTGTTTCTGGAAGCAAAGCCTACACAACCCTTTTTCTGCTGCGTTTGCTTTTCCACCATTGCTTCTGGGACGCTCAGACAGTGCTGAGGTGGATCCAACATAGACACTCCCCCAACAGGAGTGGAATAGCCCCAGCTGGGCATAGTGGTACATGCTGTTAGTCCCAGTACTTGGGAAGCAGAGGCAGGTGGATCTCTGTGAGTTTGAGGCCAGCCTGGTCTACATAGCAAGTTTCAGGCCAGCCAGAGATATGTAGTGAGACTCTGTCTAAAAAAATAAAAAGAGTACAACAGACCCAACAGATGGACAAAGTGGCTCAAGCAGGACCTGCAGCTCCCCAGGTTCTTGCAGTGAATGGGCACCCATGTCATCTTCCCATTAGTCAATAGCATTTGCTGCTTAGCAAGGCCTGTGTGTCAGGCATGTGCAGTCATCTCCTCTGCAACCCTCTTACACACTCAGTATTGGTCTCCTGGCACAAATTATGAGGGTGGATTAAGAATCTCCTGAGATTCATGCCAGGCCTGCTTGTCCCTCAAACCTTCAGAAAGCGTTGTCTCTTGGGGGACAGCATAGTGGGTACTTCACTCCTCAGTGTGTCTGCCACCTGGGGAGTCACAGCACAGGTGAAACCAGATCAAAATGAATCTGGAGGACAACCAAAGGGGAGTTACTCAAAAGGCAACTAAACCAAGCCTGAATCTGAAGACGTCATTTTTCAAACTAGAATTAAAAAAAGAAATGTCTTAAAAAATGATACTAAGTCAGAGTTCAGTCTTATGTATATCAGTAACACTAGCTTGTGTCAGGTTGGGAGGCTTGTACATGCCATTGTGGGTAGGCTTATGTGTGTAAATGGCAGTGAAAGGTAAGGAACAGTATCTGGAGACAAAAACAAATGATGCTTTTAGCTATGAAAGTTTTGACCTGGGGTTAGGGATTTATATGCCTCCCTGGTTCTAAAGAAAGCAAATCTATTTTTTTTGGTCTTTTTGAGAGAGGGTTTCCCTTGTAGCCCCAGATGTCTTGGAACTCACTGTGTAGACCAGGCTGGCCTTGAACTCACAGAGATCCAACTGCTTCTGCCTCCCAAGTGCTGGGATTAAAGGCATACGCCATCATGCCTGGCCTGAGCTTGAACTTTTGCTCCTCCTATCTCCAGAGTGCTGGGATTACAGGCATATTCCACCATGCCCAGTTTCTGAGGTGCTAGGGGTGGAACCCAGGACTTCCCGCATGCTAGACAAGCACTTTGCCAACTGAGCTAGAGCCCTGGTTTCAGTTTTTAGCGCCACCTAGCCGCACACCACCTCCTGCCCCCTGTAGTTGCAAATCTCTGCAAAGTCCTCCATATCCCACTGAGCCAGCCTAAAGGCATAGGACCTCCTAGAGAGGGAATGGAGTTTGAGAGGCAGGCCGTATAATGAAAGAAAGTCCCACATGCCAGACTCCAAATACTGGATCTTTCTCTTAACAGCTGCTGTGTGATCAAATTCCCCTTCTGAGTCTCAGATTCTCTCCAAGATTTTTAGCCTGATCTCCACAGCCTTTTACGGCTGGTCCCTGTTTACTCTCTCGCACTGCTTGGTTAATATCCCACATTATAGTATCTCCACCCATAACTCCCTTCAGCCTCAACATTTCCTCAGGTAAGACTGATGATCTCAGAATGCCTATGTGTATGTTAGGACTTGCAGATTAAAAGGCATTATGCGTGTTTAGAAAAGGTATTCATTATTTATTGTGGTTTTAAGGATGAATGTACAACAGAGACAAGACTGAGTCATGGAAAGAATTAAATATATAAAATGTAAAAGTTAAGAAGCAGCATTCTTTTTCCAGGATATGTAAAAAAGTAGCATATGATGTATAGCAGGGAAGGTTTGGACCATAGATGCTGTGGGAGCATGCACTGGGCAGAATGCAGTTTTTACCTACCTGAAGCTTTTCAATCAGAGGCGAACTCTTCACCTTGATTTTAGGAGGGTGGCTGGCATTGGATGGTGATTTCTATAGAGCAAATAGACCAAAACAACCAAATGAGTGAGACAAGGGAGGTGAGTTCTGGCTGGAGCCCAAAAGCCACAGGTAGGAGATGGATGATGATCTCACAAGTTGCCACTTAGTTTCCAGAGCCCACTTACCTCATCAGGCCTGGACCAGACGGGCTCCCTTTCTCTCCCTCATCTCACCACTAGCAAGATCACTTGAGTCTGAGTTGAGTCAGGGCAGACATCCATACCACAGGAAGCCTCCCATGGCAGGAAGAATGGCTTCATTGTCATTAGGAGGGAAAACTACATCTGTGGGGAGGAAGGTCTTCACCTCATGACCTTCTACAAGGTGAGTCAACAATTGGAGGGAATTTCACAGATGAAAAGCAAAACTGATCATTTACTGTCTTTGTCAGTCTAGGAATGAAATCTTACAGAGGCATTATTAAAATTCCTCCATTGAATTAATATTTTGGAAAATTCCACCAATGGCATTGTCTACATACTATTATTTTCCAAAACACTGACTATTCATCTTAACTCAGCAGACACATGTATTAAGTATCTACCAATCCCAGGCACTGCGTTGGTTATATAAAGATGAAGATGACTTAGGTTCATCCCTTAAGTAGCAGTCAATGGCTGACATCTGTGCTCTCTGTCCATCTGTGTGCTCTATTATTATTGTGATGAATATATATCAGGAGTTTTGCCTGCCCTTAGTTTCTATCTTTGCAAAAAGATTGGCTCTTTGTTTCCCCACAACTACGGGAAAATGATGATAGTCATAATGATGATTAAATGATGGTGAAGAAATAAAAGATGAGTTTCACGTTATTAGACAGGGGCTAAGCACAGAAGGGATCTTTCCTATGGTTTGGGACCAACACATATTGCCCATTCCTTATTCCCATGTACTACTTACTGTACCTGAACCGCAAGAAGAAAAATGACTGCTGATCTTTAAGAATACTCTGAGATTTCTGGTTGTATTTTGGTGGTAAAAGGAGGGAGACTGACTCAACTGATCCTGTGACCTTTTCAGGGCCCAGTGCCAAGGGAGAACATGTTGTACTGGGCTAGTCACTGGCTGGGACTTCTGATTTGAGCTTTGATAGCCAGATGGATGTTCCTGGCCTCAGCCTGCTCTACCAAGATCCAGTGGGTAGGATAAACGAGTCTCCATGGTCAGATGTGTTCCTGTATTTTATGGGACCTTTGTTTCCAGGAAGCACAGAGTCTCCAGCCCCAACTGGGTGGTCCTTAAGTTTCTGTGCTTTACCATGGAATTTCATTTCACAAACTGCAGCAAAAATTTTCCTAAGAAAGTTCACTTTAGATAATATCATAAACTCTTCTGTCTTTTGAAGACAGAGGGAATTCAACAAACAGTGCCTCTTGACTACAGGATGGTGCTGGTGATCCAGCGGATACACCATGGAACTCTTATTAATTTAACCAAAAAGCAGAATGAATTCTATGTAGCTGCTAATGCAGTTCCCAGAACAGACAGCAGAGGGCAGCATTAAATTGTAAATTTAATGAGGGACTCCAGGCCAGTGGCTGGGACTAACACAATTGGTGTAGAAAAACCACCTTGACATTCTCACATTTATATGTATATTATATATGTATTGCTATGACAGTCCACTAATGTCTTATGATGTCTTGAAATTGAGGACTTGATTTTTTTCAGATGGGAGTAGTATTTAGGACTTTTCAACATCCTTCCAGCTGGTTCTTCCAGGATAACTTGCGATCATTTTGCCTACAGTCATCAGGTGCCATCAAAGGGACTGACTCCACAATTCAGACCCAAAAGACCTAGCAGAGGAGGGATGAAATGAGAGTCCTCTGCAGTGAGGAACCTAAGGTAGCCTAAGGGACATCAGGGTTCCTGCAGGCTGTATGCACAATACAGGTGCATAGAAGTGTGGATTGCAGCCTCCAGCCAGCCGAGCCAGACAAAACTGGCCCCTCGCTTTATTTCTTTGAAAGTCTCTCTGTCTCTCTCTAGAGAGAGAGTCTCATTTTGCAGTCCAGGCTGGTCTAAACTTGCTATATAGACCAGTCCAACCTCAAACTGTAAATTCTGCCTCACTCACTTAAGTACTGGGATTATAGACGTGCTATGATGCCCAGCTCTATGTGAATTTCAAGGCAAAAAGAAAGTTATTGATCCCTGGGGCAGTGCTCTTTGCATGAACAAGCAGCTTGTCATTCCAGGCGGGGTTTTCGATATAAAATCTATGCTCCTCTTCATTCTTCCCCTGGGCCACTACATGCCTTTAACTACTGGGTGGGGTGCCCCATGGATGAAACCTGTGTTTAGTCTCATAAAATCCTTGAAATGAAGCTGTTTAATCTAATCACTACAAACCTGACCCACTCCATCTACTTTATTTAAATTTATTTTTATTTTATGTGTATGAATGTTTTGTCTGCATGTATGTTAAGCGCACCACAGGCATGCAATGCTCAACAGAGGCCAGAAGATGGCATCAGATTCCCTGGAACTGGGGTTATGGACAGCTGTTAGCATTCATGCAGATGCTGGGAACCAAACCCAGGTCCTCTGCAAGAGCAGTCAGTACTCTTAACTGCTGAGCCATCTCTCCAGTCCCCTCTCTATCTTCTTTTATCCCCACAAGTAAAGCTCCCCTATCCAGACCTCTCACTCTATCTGGTAATGTTCTTGTCAACTAAGGAATTAGTATGGGGCAGTGAGTCCTCCTGGGGCAAGCTTAGGTTATCAGGGGACAGCCTCAGCTTGTTCCACCACAGCAGAGGCACCAAGCTTAGCAGGAAAAGGTTACAAGGAGAAGTTGACCCTTTGTAAGGAGAAGTTGTTGGTCTGAGCATTGGGTGGTAACCCATGAAGCCACAGAGTCGTGGGGTCAGCACTTGGGAAGACCCAACCAAAACACAGTGTTTCTTAATAAACTCATGGGACTTCTTACCCAAAAAGACAACCCTTGCTAAGTGGAGGGGGGAAGTGTTCTCAGAGCAGGTAGGCCCTAGCCACTGCCCCTACTTGACCAGGTATAGTCATGAGTTCTCTGCTTTTTAATTACATTTATTTATTTACTTATTATGAGTATGTGCTGGGTGTGAAGCAGGGAGTACATGCACCACAAGGAACTTTTGGGAATTGGTTCTTTCCTTCTACCATGTGGGTCCTAGGGACTGAATTCAGGTCGTCAAGTTTGGTGGCAAGTGTCAGGTTTGGTGGCAAGTGCCTTACCTACTGAGCCATCTTGCTGACCCGAGTTATCTGCTAGACAGGGTCTTCCTCTAGCTCCAGCTGGCCTGGAACTCACTGTGTAGCTGGCCTGGATTTCAAAGAGATCTGCCTGCCTCTGCTTTCTGAGTTCTGGGATTAAAGGTGTATACCAGGATGCCCAGCAGTTGTTTGCTTTTTGATAGACTTCTGCTTATGAACCTTGGGTTGAAAAAAAGACCCTAAAAACATTCTTTAATTTCAATTTTCACTTTACAGATGACAAAATGTAGGTCTGCCCAAGTTCACACATGTATTCAGTATCTATTGTAAAGATACTGATCCCCAGAAAGAAGGGGAGGAAAAAAGAAGGCGATGAAGTGGGAATCCGGGAGCAAAGCTGTTTGACTTGCTTGCTCTATTTTGGACTTGGCCTCTCAGTCCTGAAGACAGTGTGCAAACTGGTTTCTGACAAGACCACAACTGTGACCACAGTGAAGGGTCATGGGCTGTAGGGCTGTGGCCTGCAGCACCACTAACAGCTACAATTAGATAAATAAGCTTGGGCAAGCATGCAGGCAGGGACTCTATTACTGGCTATGATCTATAACACTAGAGCCTTCATTATGTTGGCAACACTGGCTATTTATATCTGAGGGCCAGGAGGCCTTCTGTGTGCTCTGGTTTTCTTCCAGTGATCAGAACAATAGACAGCCTTTTTAAGGACCCAGAGGACCATGAACTTCTCTAACACCATGGCCCTGCCTATGACAGTACAGCTGCTTTTTCTTCCACACCTTCCACACCTATTTTACCACCATCTCCTTTAGACCAGAGGGTTGAATGTAACTTGCCTGATGCCTAAATCTTGTGAGGTCATGATATATGGCCATTCTCTTCGCCAGTTTTCTCAGGCTTGAAAACTAGTGCTCCAGTCCCTGATCGATCTTAAAAGAGGCTCAACATGAGAGACTAGGGGAGGAGGCCAAAGGAGAGCATCCAGGAGTAGTAAGAAGAGAGACTCATTCTTGCATGTGCCATGAAGAGGTTCCCCTGTGCAAATTTCAAGGTCTAAAAGTGTGATGTTTGTGCCTCTTTCTGCACAGAGGAAGAAAACCCGATGCCAGCATCTCTGAGCCCAGAAGCACTTACCTCCTCACCATTCTGGCCCAGCTCTACCTTGGGGGGGAACAGGGGGAGAGAGCAGGGCGGTTTCCTTCTTGTTGGTTTACTGGCTGGTGTCTAGAAGGAGGGCGACAGACGACACAGGGAGAAAAAGAGAGACCGTGAATCAGGCAACAGGGAGGAAGAAGAAGGAAGTGGAAACCGGTGTTAGCAATGGTTAGGGATGTCTGGAAGAGAAAAGAATGATGGCAAGGTTGGCTGTCTAAGCGACTGCCCACCGGCTACACGAATTAGTGCTGTGAACCACCTATCTGTTTGACTTTCAGCATCTCTCCTTCCCCTTTCCTAACATCCTCATGTGCTTGAGATCCTCCAGCCTGAGCTACCTCTCAAGATGGCATCTACATCCAGCTTTTTCAACTGTCAGGGAGGGCCAGCCCCTTAAATCAATGCCATCTCCTTTGTCCTTTAGGACATTTCTCTGTCTAGACAACATTGGCCAGGTTTCTTGGAGAAAATAGTGTAAAATAGTGTACCTAAAAAAGCAAGGCAGATAAGTCTCATGGAGCCATGGTAGACCCCTTCCACCTCAAGAGTTCGTCCTCTTATTTTTATTGTTGATGTTGATGTTGTTGTTTGACACAATCTCTTGTCGCCCAAGCCTGACCTTGAAGTCCTTATATGGCTGAGAATGACCTTGAACTCCTGGTCTTCTTTTCTCCACCTCAAGTGCTGGCATTATAGTGTGCCAGTATATCTTGTACCCTTAGCACACTTCTAATGAAAGCCACATACCTGTGAAAAATCTAGTCTAACTGTCCACATTCATATACTTCTTCCCCCCCCACACACTTTCTTCTTCTGCAGGATTCTTTTAGAATTCCTGATCCCTTTCTTACTCTTTCCTGGTCTCCTTTTGAAATATGCTTCCTTCCCAATTCTCAATCCAGGATCTGCTCTAGACTCCTAGACTAGATACAGGACCTGAGTGTGAGGACTTCCTTACTCTGAACCAATGCAGACTGGGCAAAGGACTGTGCCATCCAAGTCTGTGTCAGTGGAAGATGGAGATGAAAAGGGATCCACATTCTGCCCTGCTACTTATCCCTCTCACCACAGTGGGAGCCTCTCTCTAGTGGGGAAAGATTCTGTCCAGGCTCCAGGGGGTGGTGGCACATTCCTCACATTCAGAAGGACCCTCTCTAGTTTCTCTTCCTAATTTGGTAACTGTCAAGGCTCCCCCTGCCTTTCTTCTCAGGGCCTGACAGGATTCCCTTTTTTCCAACCCTCTTCGGACCAGGATACTCTTCCCAGATCAGGACACTCCAAGCCTTCTGACTTACCTCCTTGGCTGCAGCTGCCTGCTCTCGAAACCGCCCAGCCAGCTGAGCCACTGACAGGGAAGCTGAGCTGTCCACATTGGAGCTGGTCTCTGCAGATCTTTCCTGGCAAATCAAGGAGAGGCAAATGTCAATCATCAAGTGCGTGCTCTGCTCTTCCAAGGGTCATAACGGTGCCATGAAAAGCACCTGTTTTGTGGTCCCATCAGGAATTTTGTGACAATGAAGTATTTATTTATTTAGGTCTTTTTGAGACAGGGTTTCCCTGTAGCCCCAGAAGTTCTGGAACTTGCTATGTACACCAGGCTGGCCTACAACTCACAGAGATCTGCCTGCCTCTGCCTCCCAAGTGCTGGGATTAGAAGTTTTTTTTTTTTTTTAAATGTATATGAGTCTATTTCCTGCATGTGTGTAAGTGCACCTGTGTCATGCAATGCCTATGGAGGTCAGAAGAAGGCTTCAAATTCCCTGGAACTGGAGTTACAGATGGTTGTTAGCTGCCATATGGATGCTGGGAATCAAACCTGGGTCCTCTGTAAGAGCAGTCAGTGCTCTTCACCTCTGAGCCTTCTCTCCAGTCCTGTAAATGAAGTATTTTAATAACATTTTGCAACTGGCTTCTGGATTTAAGAATCAAAACATAACACAATAAAACAAAACCTATTCAGCCACATTCAATGAGTAGCTATGATGTTTGGGGTCTCTGGAGGTGTCCCCAGGGACAAATATAATAAGTTCCTGTCCTAGAGAGGAGCCCAGGGATTTGGAGGCAGTACAGGACAGAGTCTCTCTCTGTAGAGACCCCACCAGAAACAGGAGGTATCAGCAACAGCCTGGGAGTCTCCTCTTGTTTAATAACTTTGAAAAATGGGAGTTGGGGTGGCCAGACACATGTGGTGACAGGGGACTTCGTAGGAAACGGGGTACACATATGTCCTTTTTTAATTTTTACATAGAAACATGTTTCTGTCTTTCTGACTTAATTGACTGACTTGGGCAACAAATAATTCAGTGAACATTTGTTGAATGAATGAATGACGTGAGAGGTGGCAGCTGACAGGATGAGAAGGGGGCTGCAGGGATTTGACCGCCCACTTGATCTGCCTCTCCAAGGCTTCAGCTTTCTGGGCCTGGCAAGGATGGTGGTCATTCATTTCTCATTAAGGCTCTCTGCGAGTTGCTGACTGGCTCTAAGTAGCACGCCTGGCTTTAAAAGGCTGTTGTTATTATGACTGGCCATGGGTCAGGCCTCCAGTCCTGATCACCAGTTTACTGATACCTCAATATGAGGTGCCTGCAGGATATATTCACTCCCATGTGCAGCTTGTCACCAGGACACGGAGGGTAAGCCAGCAACACTAGAAATGTCACCTCACCTCTGTCTTGCTCCACATGCTCCACACAAACACCTGGTTTAGGGGATTTACTCTTTTTTTTTTTTATGGAATATCCATCTATAATCCAAGCTGTCCTTGAATTCATGATCCTTCTGTCTTTTCTTGCTAGAGTTCTGGGATTATAGCATGCACCACCACACCTTCCTGGTCTTGAAAATAATTTAAAAACTATTTGTGTGTGTGTGTGTGTGTGTGTGAACAATTTTGGGGAGTTGGTTTTCTCCTCCTACCATGTTCATTCCAGAGACTGAAGTCAGATTGTCAGGCTTGGTGGCAAGTGTCTTTACCTCCTGAACCATTTCACAGTTCCCCCTTCCTAGTTTTATGTGTTTAGTCCTAGAGTTTTCAGGCTTTTGTGTGTGTGTGTCGGGGGTGGGGGAGGAGGTTTGTCTTTTTGAGACAGGGTCTTTCTGTAGCCCCAGCTGTCCTGGAACTCACTATGTAGACCAGGCTGGCCTCGAACTCACAAAGATCCGCCTGCCTCTTGCCTCCCAAGTGCTGGGATCAAAGGCATGTGCCTCCATGCCTAGCTTGTGTATGTGTTTTGGTCATCGTGATGGTGGCATTTCTTAACATAGACCAAGAACTATATTACTTCCCCTCCTCTTTTCTAGGAGGATATGGGCATGGGTTTGAACAAGTTCATCTCTGCATCTCATGGGACTCACGGCCTCTGAGATGGATCCTGCCCTCCTCTAGCCATGAGCAGGCACCTCTATGCCACATACACCCTTGTGCACACAGACACCTCCATGGCCCTCCTTTCTGGACTAAAAGCATGTTCACATTTTCTGATTGGCCCAGCCACCTCCTGGCAATCAAGTGGAGTAAACAGAGCCAGACTGGAGAAGAATTGTGCAGAAATAAGGAAGAATGACTGGGGTCTTGGACCCTCTGCTAGGAATGGCTGTTCTGGAGAAAAGAGGTATTTCCTTCCTGTTTTCTGTGTCATTCAAGTTCCTCTCTGCTCTGACCTAAACACCAAGGCTGATTTCGAAGACGATAGAAAATGATTCACCCCTATTCAAGAGGCCAGATTTTCCCCATGGCACTTGGTAAAGCCAGGAATCTGATGCCTCACTCTATAAGCTTGCTGGGTGGGTCCAGGCCTCATACCTGTCTGACCTTTTCACTGGCCACATTAGCAGTGGTCAGGGACCAACACCTTACCCTCCTGGAGCCTCGGACAGGCTTCAGGGACAGTGTGTGGTGAATTGAGCTGCCCTTGGCGGAAACACGGGGCGATAGGTTTGTCCATCTGTCTAGCTTCCTGCCCCACACCAGATTGGCCTTTGTCCATTGCTATTTATTGCTCGAACCCTGCTGACAGTGCACTCTACCTCAGCTTCCCAGGCGCCGAAGACTGGTGGTGCAGCGAGAGACATTCCAGTTAAAAATAGAGCTACAGAGGGATCAAAAACTCCTGAACTTCTCTGTCTCAAAACTGAGCTCGGCAAGGGGTTGGGCAGCAGGGGAGCTATAAAGCTTCTGGAAGCATTTAGGGCTTATAAACCGAGTTGAAGGAAAGATTATAATAACCCGTGTTTGCTTTCCTAAAGCCCCCAGGTAATGTGTTTTCTTTAGCTGGCAAAGTCACTCTACACCCCCCCCCAACCTGTTTCCAGAATACTTCCCCTCTTAAATCGCAGAATACTGACTGATGAGTGCCTGCTGTCTGCTGGATACACCGAAGCCCAGAGAAGATGCATGACTTAGCCACAGACAGACAGAAGCCAAACAGAATACACTGTGGAATATTTGATCCAGCACAAGACGTGTGTTCAGTAGCATGACCTAGGAAAGCACTTTGAGAGCTGTAAAGGGTTGTTACATAAGCCTCAAAATTATTCTTAGTCATTGCAACCACAGGTGCAAAGAAACATGGTTGTGAAGCTGGTGCTCAGGCTTATAAAGTTTTGCCTGGAGTCTGTCTTGAAATTCTAACTACAAAGCTCCTTCAGAGGATGCAATGTCTGTGAACCCATTCAGGCCATGGGCTCACACTGGGCCTTGAGGTTATTTTGGTAAGGCCATACTCTCATTCTCTCCCCAACTGTTTTTTTGTTTTGTTTTGTTTTGTTTTGTTTTGTTTTCCCTCTCTCTCTCTCTAGCTGAGGATGCTCTTGAACTTTTGATTCACCTGCCTCTACTTTTCAAGCACTGAGCTTGTAGATATACAGCATTATGCTAGGTTTTATGCAGTGCTAGAGACTGAACTCAGGGCTTTGTGCATGCTTGTCAAACACTCTACCAATTGGGCCACATCCCTAGCCCATGTATTCTTGGTACTGAGAAGGACTTTGGCATCCCTACCTCCTCTCAAGCATTCCTGAGAGCTTTAGCCTCCCTTGCACTAAATAATTTTTTGTTGTTGTTGTTCATAAAGTACTTAGCATTGGGCCTGCATGTGGAATGTGCTTACTGGAGGCTGGTTTCTTCTCCTTCTTCCAGTCTGGCCTGCCAGTATAGGACCTGAGCACCTGTTCCTGTGGTCACTGACACCCTCAGCTCACCTGTGGACCACACCCAGTTGTTGTAATAGCCTCCAACACTGACCACCACACTCTGGATCTTGGCCACTGTCCTGACCTCAGCTTGTCCTTTCCTCCTGGACCAATGTCCACATCTTAAATCTACCTTCTGCCATCCCACTCTGTCCTGTTCTAGTCCACATATCTTCACAGGTTGCCCACCTCCACTCCATCCTCCTGAGTCTGGATCTTGCTTACCACAGGCTCCCTGCCTCTATGCAGCATGACTGTGCCAGCTACCTTGGAGACCATGCCTGTGGGTACGACTGACTCTGCTAAGGCTAGAAGAAAGTCACCTGTGGTGTTTTCTTTCCATGTCTGTGGGACTTTCTGAGAACTGGGGAAGCTTGTGTCTAGACTGCACAGAACTTCCCTGACGCCATGGAATGCTGAGTAAATATAATTTGGAGGCTGCTGGCCTTCCACATAGTGGAGCCTTTGTGTCCGGGCCAGAAGAAATCTCTACCAACTCCTTGACTCTGCCCTGCTTCTCTACCCGCCTCCATGTTCCAAAGTCTAAATAATCTAACAGTCTCTGGGCCATAGTTTAGGGAAACAATACATGGTGGGAGGCAACATGGTAATGAGAGGGCTTTGTCATGGGGTGGAGGAACCTTTGGTCTTAGCCAATAGGTTCCCTTGCTCAGTTAAAGCAAGAGAAACCGGTCTTAAAGGCATAAGAGATGCTTGCCTTTGGTCCTCCAGAACTGACCGGAAGAGTAATCATCCCTTACAAACTGCTTCACCATCCTTTGGGAAGGATCAATACTGTTTTGGGCTGCTCTCCTTCTTCCTCTCCACTCCCATCCTAGGATGAAGGAGAGGCCACTGGACTGGACTAGGCAGGTCCATTTGTCTCATATGCCTCCCCACAGCAGTGCCTCTTTGGGAAGTACTGTCCTTAGAGCAGTGGTATGTTGTCTGATTCTTTCCTCTTCTAGAAGAGGAAACTGGAGCCAGAGCTGCTGAGTGACTTGCTGTTAAGCTAGAAAGCAGCAGCATGGACACTACCTGGGCTCTGGAGCACTGGCTCTTTCCTTCTCCCTGGCCACACTAACCCTAACCCTTCACTGGAAGGCGTGTCTCAGTGTCCTCTCATCAACAGTCACTGTTCTAGCCTGTGAGGGTGAGAGTGAACAAGGTGGAATTTCTAGTCCAGTGAGAGAAACCAACAATA